TTGTTTGTTCATTATTTGCTATTAAACTACAGTATAAATAATGTAAACCCATTCATGACTGCATATTGGAATGGGTATTCGGACAGGTATTGGACGGTGACATGTGTTGACTCTTGAACACAGCAAAGAATCAAACATTTCTGCTACTGCTAATAATAACAAGAGTAGTAATAATAATAATAATAATTATAATAATAAATACGATAGAATTGAAGAAGGAAATTGTACAAAAATACGAGGGAGTGGTTGACACATCGTCAGTGTGGCTTTGTTTATGCTGGAGTGAGCATTAGTCTCCGTGCTCTTCCAAACATTTCACAATAATTCATTGTGTTTGGTGCTTGTAGATTGAGTGCGACTGGAGTGGTAGAGGCAGTGGTTGGGGAAGCGGTTGAGGCATTGGGTGAGCCAGTGGGTGAGGCAGCGGTTGAGGCAGCGGTTGAGGCAGCGGTTGAGGCAGCGGTTGAGGCAGCGGTTGAGGCAGCGGTTGAGGCAGTGGGTGAGGCAGTGGGTGAGGCAGTGGGTGAGGCAGCAGTTGAGGCAGCAGGTGAGGCAGTGGTTGAGGCAGTGGTTGAGGCAGCGGTTGAGGCAGTGGGTGAGGCAGTGGGTGAGGAAGTGGGTGAGGCAGTGGGTGAGGCAGTGGTCGAGGCAGTGGTATTTAATAACACACGTTATTATTAATAATAATAATAATAATAATAATACGTTATTAGTAATATGTATTATTATTATTTATAATTTTTTTTTTATTATTATCACACTGGCCGATTCCCACCAAGGCAGGGTGGCCCGAAAAAGAAAAACTTTCACCATCATTCACTCCATCACTGTCTTGCCAGAAGGGTGCTTTACACTACAGTTTTTAAACTGCAACATTAACACCCCTCCTTCAGAGTGCAGGCACTGTACTTCCCATCTCCAGGACTCAAGTCCGGCCTGCCGGTTTCCCTGAACCTCTTCATAAATGTTACTTTGCTCACACTCCAACAGCACGTCAAGTATTAAAAACCATTTGTCTCCATTCACTCCTATCAAACACGCTCACGCATGCCTGCTGGAAGTCCAAGCCCCTCGCACACAAAACCTCCTTTACCCCCTCTCTCCAACCTTTCCTAGGCCGACCCTACCCCGCCTTCCTTCCACTACAGACTGATACACTCTTGAAGTCATTCTGTTTCGCTCCATTCTCTCTACATGTCCGAACCACCTCAACAACCCTTCCTCAGCCCTCTGGACAACAGTTTTGGTAATCCCGCACCTCCTCCTAACTTCCAAACTACGAATTCTCTGCATTATATTCACACCACACATTGCCCTCAGACATGACATCTCCACTGCCTCCAGCATTCTCCTCGCTGCAACATTCATCACCCATGCTTCACACCCATATAAGAGCGTTGGTAAAACTATACTCTCATACATTCCCCTCTTTGCCTCCAAGGACAAAGGTCTTTGTCTCCACAGACTCCTAAGTGCACCACTCACTCTTTTCCCCTCATCAATTCTATGATTCACCTCATCTTTCATAGACCCATCCGCTGACCCGTCCACTCCCATTATTTATAACATGTTATTAAATACCACTGCCTCAACTGCTGCCTCTACCATTGCCTCAACCACTGCCTAAACTGCTGCCTCAACCACTGCCTCACCCACTGCCTCTACCATTGCCTCACCCACTGCCTCACCCACTGTCTCACCCACTGCCTCTACCATTGCCTCTACCATTGCCTCACCCACTGCCTCTACCATTGCCTCACCCACTGCCTCACCCACTGCCTCAACCGCTGCCTCAACCGCTGCCTCAACTGCTGCCTCAACCACTGCCTCACCCAATGCCTCAACCGCTTCCCCAACCACTGCCTCTACCACTCCAGTCGCACTCAATCTACAAGCACCAAACACAATGACTTATTGTGAAATGTTTGGAAGAGCACGGAGACTAATGCTCACTCCAGCATAAACAAAGCCACACTGACGATGTGTCAACCACTCCCTCGTATTTTTGTACAATTTCCTTCTTCAATTCTATCGTATTTATTATTATAATTATTATTATTATTATTACTACTATTGTTATTATTAGCAGTAGCAGAAATGTTTGATTCTTTGCTGTGTTCAAGAGTCAACACATGATGTCACCGTCCAATACCTGTCCGAATAGCCATTCCAATATGCAGTCATGAATGGGTTTACGTTATTTATACTGTAGTTAATAGCAAATAATGAACAAACAAAACACTCACCACACTGGTGGGAGGGCTGGCTGCCAGTTGGGGGGGTCGGAGGGAGGGTAGTAGGGACTCGCATTGGTCGAGGAAGTGGAGGCAGTGGTATTTAATAACATACATGTTATTAAACCATAACATGTATGTATTTAGTACAATGTACGACATTTTCATGTATTTTATAACTGTTCAAGGTTCAACAAGTTAAGGAAGAAGTATTGTACTATATTTCCCTACAATATATTGGGGCACCAAACATTCGCGATTTTTCAACATTCGCGAGGCTCTTGATCCCCTAACCCTCGCGAATGTTGAGGAGACCTGTATATCTTTATATATATTTCTAAACTGTTGTATCTGGGCACCTCTGTAAAAACAGTGATTATGTGTGAGTGAGGTGAAAGTGTTGGATGATGATGATGATGAAAATATTTTCGTTTTGGGGATTTTCTTTCTTTTTGGGCCACCCTGCCTAGGTGGGAGACGGATGAGTTGTTGAAAAAAAATTATAATAATGATAACAATAAAGTTCCAAAAGTTAGTGGATGAATTTGGGAAGGTGTGTAAAGGTAGAAAGTTGCAAGTGAATACGATTAAGAGTAAGGTTATGAGGGTATCAAACAATTTAGATAAAGAAAAATTGGATATCACATTAGAGAGAGAGTATGGAAGACATTAATGTTTTCAGATATTTGGGAGTTGACTTGCCAGTGGATGGGTTTATGAAGGATCAGGTAAACTATAGAACTGATGAAGGAAAAAGGTTGAGGTATCTGTGGAGACAAAGAATGTTATCCATGGAGGCAAAGAAGGGAATGTACATGAGTATAGTCGCATGGAACACATTTATATGGGTGTGAAGTATGGGTTGTAAATGCTGCAGCGAGGAGGTGGCTGGAGGCAGTGGAGATGTCGTGTCTAAGGGCAATGTGTGGTGTAAATATTATGCAGAAAATTTGTAGTGTGGAAATTAGGAGGAGGTGTGGAGTTACCAAAAGTACTGGTCAGAGGGTTGAAGAGAGGCTGTTGAGGTGGTTTGGTCATTTAGAGAGAATGGAACGAAGTAGAATGAGCGGGAGAGGGTATATTATTATTATTATTATTATAATCAAGGGGTAGCACTAAACCCGTAGGATTATACAGCGCCTATGGGGGGATGGAAGGCATTCAGGCTTAATTCAGGGAACTGGAGCACAGATCCAATTCCCTAGATCAAGAGGGCCTCACCAGCATCAAGGAACTTTCCTTGAGGGGGGGAGAGCATATAAATCTGCTGGGGAAGGAAGGTGGGGTAGGGGTCGTCCCTGAAAAGGTTGGGAGGGAGGGGATAAAGGAGGTTTTTTGGGCGAGGGGCTTGGACTTCGAGCAAGCATGCGTGAGCATGTTAGATAGGAATAAATGGAGAAGAATAGTTTTTGGGACCTGACGAGCTGTTTGAGTGTGAGAAGGGTAATATTTTGTAAAGGGATTCAGGGAAACCGGTTAGCTGGACTTGAGTCCTGGAAATGGGAAGCACAATGCCTGCACTTTAAAGGAGGGGGTTAGGATAATGGCAGTTTGGAGGGACATCTAAACTGTTGTATCTGAGCATGTCTGCAAAGACAGTGATTATGTATTAGTGATGGTGAAAGTGTTGAATAATGAAAGTTTTTTTTCTTTCTTTTTGGGTCACCCCGTCTTGGTGGGAAATGGCTGATGTGTTAAATAATAATAATAATAATAATAATAATATTTCTCCATGGGTAAGTGGAACAGAATTCTTCCTCTGTAAGCCACAAGTATCATAAGAGGCGACTAAAATGCCGGGAGCAAGGGGCTAGTAACCTCTTCTCCTGTATAAAATACAAAATTTAAAAAGAAAAACTTTCATTTTTCTTTTTGGGCCACCCTGCCTCGATGGGATACGGCCAGTTTGTTGAAAGAATAAATAATAATAATAATAATAATAATAATAATAATAATAATAATAATGTGACATTTAATAATGCTCAAAACTTTTGGGACCATATATGACAAACTGGTCAAATAATGTAGCTGCTCTTTTTGTACCTAGTCAAAATACATTAATTACAAACTTGTTATCTACATACATCAAATCAAAGTTAACCAAAAATTAGTATGTAAAAATAAAACACAAACCACTGTTATTATATTGAGACTCCAACACTCTTATATTAAACATATGAATAGTGGCACGAAGACACTTTCAATAAGAAAACCCTTTGTTTCAATTATTTTTTTTTTATAAAATACCTGACGAAATCTCCAGTGGATGAAACACTGTATTAATGAGAGGTTACTTTGCTGCAAGTGTCTTTATACCATCATCTGTTAATTCATAGCTATTTGTTTACAAACATAGTCATTAATGCAAAAATAGCAATTATTGGTAAGTCCTACTAGCTTTACTGGATAAAAGAAAGCAAGTCTTTGGGATGAACAATAACAATTAGCAATGGATCTCCATAATTCTCAAAAATTCTGAAACCAATTTTGAATGTAAAAATAGATTGAGGATGCAAAGAAATATTATTCTAATACTGAGATATAGCTCAGTGGCAATAATAACTAAATAGGGATTATAAACTTTTATTTTTTAATGACTGACACTCAATATAAAGCCAGATTCTGAAATATCTGATATATCATATACAAATTCTGAAGGAACAGGGGTACTTAAATGACTGTTAGCAATGCTGAAACAGAGTAGAAAATTTAAGCACAAATCAACACATACAAATTCAAAAATGGTTGCATTGGCTCACAAATCACCTCTGATTTCTTGGCAGCTTCAAGATGAGCTTTCAGCTTAGTCTCTGAGTCCTTGAGGTCACGCAGTACCTTGACCAATGTGTTGTACTTGCCTATGTTACTCTGAGAGCAACACGGTTTCAAAATTTGATTAATTTAACTACACTCTCGTTAAATATTTTTATATTCTAATATGAAGTTTGTGAACAAACTAATATATTTTAAGATTCCATTGATAGTAGTACAATATGTTTCCTGTACTGGAATGCTGAAATGATATGCTGAGATTTTCTTCTTAAAATAAAAATTTTAAAACTTATTTACTTTAGATATTACCAAGTACAGTGGACCCCCGGTTTACGATCAGCTCCCAATGAGACCAATTATGTAAGTGTATTTATGTAAGTGCGTTTGTATGTGTATGTTTGGGGTCTGAAATGGACTAATCTACTTCACAATATTCCTTATGGGAACAAATTCGGTCAGTACTGGCACCTGAACATACTTCTGGAATGAAATAATATCGTAAACCGGGGGTCCACTGTAATTACGTAAAAAGCAACTAAGAAAATAGAAAATATAATGGAGTCCAGCTCTACAAACACTGATTCTTATATTCAAAACTTTGAAAATTAGCCTAATTTAATAAAATGAATATGAATAATAAAACCTTGTAAAAAGACAAATAGCACAGGCATACTGCACTGTAAACTTCCTCCTCTACCTGATGCCTCAATGAACTCAAGAGAAAGGCTTTGCCAAATCCCACATTAGATGTCTGATTGCACCCCACTGAACAACTCATCATTTACATGACTCATAAGAAAGCCTTCCACAAGGCTGTTTAACCTGTGGGCAAACACACGTTGTAATTGAATATTTAGGACAGACTTACACCCAGCCAACGTTTTGTCATTTAAGATGTATGATAGTTTTTCTTTTGTCATGATAGTATTGCCTCAAAATATCAGCCCTAATCAAGCAATATTTGATGTTTAACTGCAACTGAGCACCAGACAACAATTGACTAGTTATGGCCACCTAAAAGCAAACAGGGAGACCCCTACAAATGACATTAAAATGGATTTCTTACAGAGATCTGAAACTGGGAAATAAGCATATAAAATCTCCAAGAATGCTGGCCTAGATTCTTCCCTTATATATACCAGCTATAAAATTATCCAGAAAGTACAGTAAACTGCTGAACAATATGGAATATCAAAATGTGTAGACTGTACAAACCATAATAAACAAATTGTGCTTTTGTTTATGAGGACACTGTACAATTCAGGACATTTACTGAAGGAAATGTTTCACCTCAAGTATCTTTATCAATCTTAAAGGACTGATGAAGCCACTCATGGTGAAATGTGTTCTTTAATTAATATCCTGAATGGTACATAAGTTTCCTTATCTACAGCTTGTCAGTTTGCAATCGTGTCATTACGACTTCGTGAGCCTAGCATCGCTATACCATTTACAACCAAAGTATGCTTTTGAATTAGAAAAAAATATAGGAAAAGAGTACATTTATTTGAAGGACTGCAAGAGAAAGGCAGCAAGCTTACAACAACAGAAGCTTTCACTGCTAATCGAGGCTGGTTTGACATTTTTTTGTTTATCACCTCAGCCCTTTTCTACAAAATTCAGGTAAAAAAGCAGATCCCCATTCATCAGCTGTCTTGCTAAGAGAGATATAGTACTTAGAATGAAAGTGCAGCTTTGCCACTGGAAGAGGGAAAACAATTTCCTACATTTCTGACAAGTGACAGCTGGGAACATCTGGGATTTTCCTTCAGCTTCATTGTCAGATAAAGAGGCAAAAGAATCAGCAAAAATCTCAGCCATTCACTAATGCCAGGATTCAAACCATCACTTTTAATCCAAGAAAATAAAGTGGAACCTCAGTTTTCATATGCCCTAGTTTGTATGTAAAACTATAGTTATTCTCTATAAAATGTATTATTTGTTAATATTTTTGGGTGTCTGGAATGGATTAATTGGATTTACATTATTTCTTATAGGAAATATTAACACAAAATACATTTCATAGAGAATAACTATAGTTTTACACACAAACTAGGGCATACAAAAACTGAGGTTCCACTGTATATGCAAGCCCTGAGCAAGTCATGTTTAAATAAATGTTTTATTGTAGCTATTTAGTACAAAGTCATAAATTTTCTTCTGTTTTCTAATGATAAGCTGGTAAAAGTGTCAACAATGATTTTTCCCAACAAGTCTGAACAACAACTTAAAAGTGATCACAAGAAGTTCATTGCACAGATAATGTTCACTGTATTCAAAAGGGAGGTTACATTATTTTATAATTTTCTTGGGAAATTCCTTTATAAGAATTTTCACAAGATGGAAAAAAAAAAAAACTTCAGAAAGTGGAGCACGACAGAGTTGCAACATACCGTGTCGCCTTGTTGTTCAAGTGCTGTCATTGCCGTGGTTGTCTGTTGGATGTAACCCTGAATTTGCTGAAGTTTCTCCATAATCTTCTTACTATCAACACCCTGCACAAAAAAAAAAAAAGACAAATTTCAGAAATTTTTAATTCTAACTTAAATGAAATGCATGCTGTATGATAAATATATGACAAGTCTAGGAAAACTGTAATAAAATAAGAAGGCTAACTGCTCACCATCACCAAATTCACAGTAAAAAAAAAAAAATGCATGGTACTTAAGATGATTTCATTTAGAAAGGATGGGGCAAAATATTTTGACCCTACGAATGAACAAATCTGACAAAATTATGCTCTTGCGAATTTTGATGTGTCAGCGATATTTACGAATCGGCAATTTTACTGACTTTGACTCCCATTTTAGGCCAATTACATTATTCCAGTCGACCAAATTCTTAGCTATTTCACTAGTATTACTTCTATTCTATCGACTGAGCACAAGAAATCGCCCAGTCAACTGTTTCAACTACAAAATAAAGTGATCGGAATTTGGTAATTTGGCCAATTTAACACAAAGTTCAAAATATTTCAATTTCAAAAAAGGGTCCAGAATAAACAATGCAGGTATTCCTGGCACTAAACTAACATTTCCTCTGTTCATTAGTTATGTTTTGAGGCTTTACAAATGAATTCCATTTTGATTTTTTATTCACATAATGAATTTTTATTCAAACCAAAAAATAGAAGATTTACTGTTATGCAATATTGTAATATAAATGTATAAATATCATCACCACATTTATGAATGTGTACTAGACCCGCCAGCTGGTGTGTATTAGACATATGAGGTCGTTTGTTTACACTTGAACATCGGCAAAAATTTAACATTTCCGCTACTTTGAGCTCAGTTTCAAGCCATTTCCAGTAATAAAACCAATCAAAATCATCTCTATTTCTGTAATATATCTTCGATTCTATCAAATGAGACCAAGAAATCGCAAATACAACTATAAAAAACATGTGAAAAAACACTGCAAAGTCGCTGTTTTAATCGAAAACACGGTCTCAGTTTTTTCTCTCATTATACACTGTGTGCTGCAGGATTTACTTTATGTGGTGCACACATACCACATAGATGTATTCTCTCATATCTAGGCCCAAATTTACCACTCACAGCTTATCAGTGTGAGCTGAACTCATGGCGTAGATCTAGTTTGGACCCTCAACGTAAAGCCGTAAATCTACGGCACAGACCCTGAAAGGGTTAAATTAACTGAAATGCAATTAATCCGTTCCAGTGGAATTTTGTACTTCAATAATTTCCCTAATATCAACTCAATGGTTTATTTATCTATTAATTTATCTAATATGACATAATAAACAATACGTATAAATAACATAAGACACCTGATCTATACTCTAGAATGAATAAAATATGTCATTATGTAACAGGGGGAGGCAGCCACAACCACTCCCTCTTCGTTGTGGTAAACACTGCCATCTAGTGACATCCTTTTGAAGCAGTCCATTATAATTACTATTATGTAGTACATTATTATATATGTACTATTATTATATGTATTATTATACTATCATTTTTATATGTACACGGTGTATTATTATTATACATATTACAATATAAATAATTTGTAATTTTTATTCACACAAAAAATAGAAGATTTACTGTTATGCAGACTACTGCCTAATAGCAATAATTGTATAAATAATTTCAACCCATTCAAAAATGCATACTGAAATAGACAGTGACGTCATTTGTTTACTCTTTAACATAGCCAAGGAATCGAATATATCTCCTACGTTGAGCTCAATTTCAAGGTACTTTTCGTCGTGAAAGCAATCAAAATCATATCTATTTCTGTAATATATCTTCCATTCCATCAAATGAGACCAAAAAACAAGAATACAACCATAAAAACCATACGAAAATAATGCTATGGGTGGCTAATTGCTGAGAAGTGAACTCCATTATATATGCTCCAATTTCTTACATTTTTGGTGTACGTTACAAAGCATCTTTCCATCATACGTTGTGCAGGTTTCAATAATTTAGTCCAAAAACAAATGAGATCCAATTCCCTAGATAAAGAGCAAGAGCCCCTCACCAGCATCAAGGAACCTCCCATGAGGTCTGCTCGCTTATGGAAATTTCGTTTGCATATGGAAGCTAAAAAATCAATCTACTGGCTGCTCGTATTTGGAAAAACTCGCACGTGGATGCGCTCGCAAGTAGATGTTCCACTGTATACAGTGGAACCTTGACTAACGAGTTTAATCTGTTCTGTGACCTAGCTTGTAACTCAATTTGCTCGTAACTCAATTTACTCGTATATCAATTTAATTTTCCTCGTTTAAATTAACTGAAAAGCCATTAATCCTTTCCTGCACTCTGGAGACTAAGAAAAAAATACTTGAATATGATACTATTTTCAACTATACGGCTTATTTATCTATCAATTCATCTGACTGACATAATACAATATAATTGCACCAACATATATACACTCCAGAATGAATAAAATAGGCCATAATATGGTGGCAGAGGCAGCGGCAGAAGCATCCGCCATTTCTGTCCAACTTTGACTACAATATCTTCCCATGTTCTTACTGTAAGAGAAAATGGAGTATTTTTGAAGCTAACTGCAGTAGATCACTAGTGTTCTAAGGAAAACACTGAAACAATGTATGTATTTATAAATAAGAAATATTATATAAAAACTGTTTATATAAAGTGTACATGTACTGACACACTTGGAGCAGAGATGCTGGGGGAGGTTCAGGGTGGAGGATGTTGAGGGTGTGGCGTATGATGTATTACCTGGTTAAGTATACATGGAAATCGTCTTTTTCTTCTCAGCATTGTCCTTTGCACTTATTTTCTTAGGATCCATGGTTAGAAAAAAGAAATTTGGCCTAATGACTGTACAAAATGCAAACAAGCATGAGAGAACTGCTCCCACAGTGATGTAAATATGTGTACTACTTAGCAGATGTTTTGCCATCAGCTGTGCCAATGAGCGGCAGCATTCTGAGCAATTATTGCGTTTGTATTATGTATTATTATTAATTTAGAGAACTGAAGCTCTATCATTATTATAATCATTATTATAATTATTATTAATTTAGGATATTGAATCTCTATCATTATTATAATAATATTATTATTATTAATAATAATTTAGGGAACTAAAGCTGTATCATTATTATTATATTATTATTATTATTATAATTAATTCAGGCAACTGGAGCACAAATCCAATTCCCTTGATCAAGAGCCCCTCACCAGCATCAAGGAACCTTGATGCTGGTGAGGGGCTCTTGATCTAGGGAATTGGATCTGTGCTCTAGTTAACTTAATTAATAATAATAACACTAACAATAATAATAATAATAATTATTATTATTATAACAAACACCGCAAACTCAGTGCACTGTTTACCTCGCTGTGGGAGCAGTTCTCTCATGCTTTGCTTACATTTTTGACTGTCATTTGGCCAAATTTAATTTTTCTAAGCATGGGTCCTAAGAAAGCAAGTGTAAAGGACAGGGCAGAGAAGAAAGAGAATGATTTCCATGGAATTAAAATATGAAACCATAGATAAACAAGGGAGGTGTCCAGGTTTTGGGTTGAGGGGGAAGGGGGGAGGGGCAAGTTGGCTCGTAACTCAGAGCAAAAAATCGACCCAGGGATGGCTTGTATCTCAAAAAATTTGTATGCTGGGACACTCGTAAGTCAAGGTTCCGCTGTATATTTGTCTACACAGTAACTGAAAAAATTCTCAATATATTCACCCTGTCTAATAACTGCAAAAAAAAAAGGAAAATATATATAAATATTTTTATTCATATGCAAAATCTAAGCTAAGAAGTACCTGTAGAAATGGACCATTAACCCTTTGACTGTCACAACCCCAAATCCTGAAGTGTCTCCTGGTGTCGAAGAATATTAAAAAAAAAAAAAAAAAAAATTTTCTTATGAAAATGTTAAGATTAATTTTATGATTGTTTTAAGCCCCCCCCCCAAAATTGCGATCAGTATTTACCAAGATATAGAGGAGTAAAGCTGGCAGAAAATGAGCTGTGTATGGCAACAGCGGCGAATGCCACTCACCGGGTAAACTCTGGTTACTTGCATTGGAAGGTTTCTTGTTGTTTTTTTTTCACTATTTTATTTTTTCACCTAACTTATGTGGCCTGTGAGACCAAAGTAAGGTGCAATGTACATATGTACACTCAATAAGCGCACATATGTAACTATCACTGTATTGTTTACAAAACTTGTTTGCACAAACAATATAAAAAATTGTTTCTTACTATTGTTCTATAATATACAGGTCCGCCACCACAAATCTGGCAATCAGTCATTCGGTTCCTTCAGTTATTCGGCACTAATTTCGGCTAGCATAATTTCAAATTTCCAGGGTCGCCACACCAACCTGCTGGTACTGTTTGGTGGCGCTACTTGCTGCATAAGTCATTCCAATTTCTTTTTCTCCATTTATTGTTTTAACCTGCTTACTTTTAGCCCTAGCCATGGTTCCAATGAATAAAAGAAATGCTTCTCATTATGTAAAGCACCTACACAGTACATTATCCATTAAAGATAAAGTGGCTTGGAAGCCACTGTCGGTTTCCATGAGCTCAGTATCATGATGCAGGAGAATATGCTTTATTATTACGCTAATATCAACACTACAGCTTATTTGCCTATCACAATTGATCTAATATGACGTAAGAAACCATATAAATAACATAAAACATGTTAAATACTCCAGAATGAATAATATTTGGCATAACACCGAGCAGTTCGACGAAGGTATGAAGAGGATATGGTATACAATTACCACGGCATCCTACTCCACAAACTTGACCACTATGGTATAAGAGGCCATGCGCTTGCATATTTTAAATCCTACCTTTCTAATAGGTATCAGTATTTTTTTTTTTTTTATCACACTGGCCGATTCCCACCAAGGCAGGGTGGCCCGAAAAAGAAAAACTTTCACCATCATTCACTCCATCACTGTCTTGCCAGACACGCCTCATCAACACGGCGACTTGATACTGGAGTTCCGCAGGGAAGTGTCCTT